TGTTTCCCTGGTAATTTATTGTATCCTGAAGCTTTTATGCATAAGACTCGTTGTGATAAGCTTTCGTATCTTATGATTTTGTTATGATAAGCTATTATTGAATATCTGCTTTGATTAATGTCTAATGATCATATATGTTCGTGTTTGGAAAATTTAATTTTGTTGATGAAATAGAAGGAAGAGAATCTTGTATTAGCAAATGAATTTCTCACCACGAATCAGGTGAAGTGACAAATAAAAGGGAATATAATCGAAAACAAAACAAAACAAGAAAATGTAGGTTTTTTTTTAGAAAGTTATCCTCTGTTTTATTCGGTAACATACTACATTACATTTCCAAAATATTTTACTATTCCGTAACCCTTCCATTATGATACTAAATGAATGAAACCATGAATACACGCATAGTTTGGAAACAAAATCTTTATAGAGAAAGCATATTACAAAGTATGAAAGCAAAAAGAAAGAATGGTTAAGAGGTCCAATGAGGACTAGTTGAATGGTGGTGAATGGATATTACCGTGGCGCTGAGAAACGCGACGGAGGTGGTGGCTATAGCTCCGACGAAGAGTGATGCGACTCCGAAGGCTTTAAGTGGCATTAGCCGCATGTTGCCGGCGTAACCTCTCCGTATAGATCTCACTCACCATCCGATTTGGACTCCGCTTCCGATTGCCCACCACCAGTGAGCTGATCCATCGAACAAACTACTCTCTCCGGCGCCGGTGTCGTTCTGTTCCTCCATTTTCGCCGGAGATTGATGAAATGGATAAAATCCCGACTGCTAGGTTTCCTTTTTTCGTGTTGCCCTGTAATGTTTACTATCGTTGCAGGTTTCATGGGCTTGGTATTGGGCTTGTAGACCCATATTTGTCATTTAGGCCTTTCGTATGTTTTTGGAATTGAGATTAATCAATTCTAATATTTTATTTCCTCCGATTAATCAAAGTTTATCACAGATTCACAGTATTGATATCAAAAAGGGAAAATAACCAGTCATAAACTACATAAAATTTTATTTCACATCATACAAAACATGATTTATTCAATCTGCATCATACAAATTTAATGATTTCCTTACCTATGGATCCAAAAATCTTGAAACTATATATGCAGGTACCATATTTTGCAGCAAATATCTAACGTGAAATACTTAAAATAAGCAACTAATACAAGACACTTGGCCAGACAAACAAATTGGATCTACAAATGGTACTGTGTGTTAGTCTACTTTTTTTTAATAGCAATCCATTAGTCAATGGAGTGGTTTTCTCATATGAGACCAGAGTAATCAACCACATAAATATGTAATTTTTTTGGTAAGTGAGGACAAAACTAATCATTTAACAATGACTTTGATTTTTATCTTGAATCTCAGTCACTCCTTACCATTTCTCTTAAATC